ACGGAGACAAATGGCAGCCCTGAGAGATGCCGAAGGCCTGGGGCCAAGAGCCTGGCGTCCCACCAGAGGTCCGGACAAAGAAAGTCCTGTTTTCGAAAATTCGCTTCACGGCAGAAGCGAAGCGTTCCCTGAGCCCGAAAGGTTTCAACGCCTGCAGAAGTCTCTCGGGTGACACGCTTTCGAAGGCTCAGCCTAATCAACGGCGAGCAGGAGCAAGAGTCTGGAGGCCGTGTCCAGGACGTCCTCGATGAGCCGCTGAGCGACGAAAAAAGCGTCGGTCATTCCCCGCCCGGACCAGAATCCAAATTGCGTGCCCCAGATGCGGTCCTCGGCGCCAGCGCGCTTCAAGCGCGAGAGCAAGACCATGGCGTAGAGTTTGTAAGCCGATAGGCAAGAGAGAGATGTAGGCCTGTAGTTCTCGCAGTCAGCGCGGTCCCCCTTCTTGCCACGCCTCAGGGACACTGCCTCCGTCCAGCACTTGCTGAATAGCAGAACAGCCCACTCGCATGCTGGCGTGCCTCTATCGCAGATTGCTTTCAAGAATTCAGCGGGTACGTTTTGCCGTGCAGTCCAGGTTGTGCACGCTACGTGGTGCAAGCTATTTGGTGCAGTCCACGTGGTGCAATTTACGTGGTGGTGCAGTCCACGTGGTGCAATCTATGTGGTGCATATCTGTGACGGAAACCAAGTGATGCAAGTAGCGCAAAGCAATGTGAAAGCAGTGCAAAGCCATGCGACCCAATGCTACGCAATGCGAAGCCATGCAGAGCAATGCGAAGCAATGCGACAGAATGCAAACCAAAGCAGAGCAATGCAAAGCAACGCAGGCAATGCACGGCAATGCGAAGCAATGCAAAGGAATGCAAAGTAACGCAAATCGGCGCAATCCCATTCAAAGCGCTGTCATGCAAACCCGCGGGATGCAACGCGGGTGCGGTGACGAGGAGGCGACGGGGGCGGCGACGGGCGACAACAAGCGGGCCGAACCGACACCCAGGCCAGGCGACGGGCGGCGATGGGGCGGTCACGGGGGTAGCGACGGCGACAACAAGCCGGCCGAACCGACACCCAGGCCCAGGCGGCGAGGCGGCGACGGGGGCGGTGACGGCGATGGGACAATGAGCTGGCCAAGCCGACACCCAGGCCCGTTTCCTTTTAGACGAAGTGAGAGCCCCTCAGGACACGCATTGTTGGGGAATCCATACACGCATATGTATGTATGCTTGCATGCATGTATGTATGTACGCATGTATGTTGCATGTATGCAGGTGTGTATGTATTTATGTATACGTGCATGCATGCATGTATGTGTATGTGTGTATGTCAGTATACTTCTATGTGTGTGTGTGAGAGTAGGTACGTCTGTATATATGTAGGAATATATGTCTGCCTGTATGTATGGATGTATGTACGTACGTACGTATGTATGTATGTACGTATGTATGTATGTATGTTTGTAAATGTATGTATGTATGTATGTATGTATGTATGTATGTGTGTATATATGTATGTATGTATGTATGTATATGTGTATGTATGTATGTATGTATGTATGTATGTATGTATGTACGCATGCTTGTATTTTACATGTATGTATGTATGCAAACGTGTATGCGTGTATTTACGTATGTATGTATGTATGCATGTATGTACGTACGTGTGTATGTATGTGTTTCTGTATTTATAGTTGTGCATGTATGTGTTTGGATATGAGTAGGTATATGTGTATGTCGATGTATACGTCTATGTAGCTGTATACGTATATGCATATGTATATGTATATGTATAGGTATGCATATGAGTGTGTCTTTATATATATATATATATGTGTGAATGCTTATCCGTATACGTATGTGTATGTGTATGTGGATGTGTATATATATATATACACATGTAAATGTATATGTCTATGCATGTATGTATGGATGGGTGGATGTATTCATGTATGCATGTATGTATGTGCGTATGTACGTATGTATGCATGTACGTATGTACAAATGAGAGAGCGCGATCCACCGCCGCTTTACCGTGGATGATTCCCCCTCCTCTTCCTCCGGAACCTGGGGGTCCCCCCGCCCCCCTCCGAAAATCCCCCCCCATCCTGCTCAAACCACCCTCCCCCCCTCCCTTCCCCCGGTAAAACCTCCTCCCCCCTAAACCCTCCCCCCCCGCTCCAGAAAACCGGGGGGGGTCACTACCTGTTCGAACCCCCCCCCCTCGCCCCTCCCCCTCCCACTCACCGCCAGCAAACGACTCCGGGGTCCCCACAACCGTCCTCACCACCGTCCTGTCCTCAGCAACACCGTCCCCATCACCACTGTCCCCACTGTCCCCACCATTGCCCTCACCGCTGTCGCATTGTCCCCACTGTCCCCACCACTGTTCACACCACGGTCCCACTGTCCCCACTGTCCCCACCACTATCCCACTGTCTCCACTGTCCCCACCATTGTCCCACTGTCCCCACTGTCCCCGCCGCTGTCCCACTGAGACTGCTCCCACCACTGTCCCCACTGTCCGCACCACTGTCCCCACCACCGTCCTCACCACCGCCCTCACCATTGTCCCCACCACCACCGTCCCCACCACTGTCCCACTGTCCCACTCCCCCCACCACTGCCCCACTGTCACCACACCACTGTCCCCACCACCACCGTCCCCACCACTGTCCCCACTGTCCGCCCCACTGTCCCCACTGTTCCCACCAATGTCCTGACTGTCCCCACCAATGCCCCCGCCGGTGTCTCACTGTCCCCACCACTGTCCACACCACGGTCCGACTCTCTCCAGTGTCCCCGCTGACCCCACCACTATCCCACTGTCCACACTGGCCCCACCACGGTCCCACTGTCCCCACCGCTGTCCCACTGTGCTGTCCCACTGTCCCCACTGTCCCTGCCACTGTCCCATGGTCCCCACTCTCCGCACCACTGTCCCCACCGTACCAATGTCCCATTGTCCCACCACCGTCCTCACCACCGCCCTCACCACTGTCCCCACCACTGTCCACACCACGGTCCGACTCTCTCCAGTGTCCCCGCTGACCCCGCCACTATCCCACTTTCCACACTGGCCCCACTAGTGTCCCACTGTCCCCACCGCTGTCCCACTGTGCTGTTCCACTGTTCCCACTGTCCCCGCCACTGTCCCACTGTCCCCACTGTCCGCACCACTGTCCCCACTGTACCACTGTCCCATTGTCCCACCACCGTCCTCACCACCGCCCTCACCACTGTCCCCATCACTACCGTCCTCACCACTGTCACACTGCCCCCACTGACCCCACTACTGTCCCACAGTCCCCTCACCACTGCCCCACCACCACCGTCCCCACCACTGTCCCACTGTCCCCACTGTCCCCACCACTGTCCCAGTGTCCCCACACCACTGTCCCCACCACCACTGTCCCCTTCACTGTGACAGTGTCCCCATGACTGTCCCACCTATCCCGAGGAGCGGGAATCGTTTGCCCGCGGCGAGGAGGGGGGGGGGTTCGAACCAGTAGTGCCCCCCCCCCCCTGCTTCATGATGGACTGGGGCGGGGGGGGAGGGAGGGGTTCGAATTGGTAGTGGACCCCTCCAGGTTTTCTACGGGGGGGGGGACGGGTTGGATCCCCCCAGTGACCCTCCTGGTTTTCCGCCAGCAGCGGTAGAACACGCTCTTTCGTATATATATATATATGTATACATGCATGTATGTATGTATGCATGTATGTATGAATGCATGTATGTATGCATGGTTTGATGTATGTGTGTACGCATGTCTGTACGTATGTATGCATGCATGCATGCATGAACATATGTGTGTATGTATTTATGCATGTATGCATGCATATATGTATATGTATGTATATGTGTACGTATGTATGTAGGTGCGTATGTATGGGTGGATGGAGGTATGTATGTACGTATGTGTGTATGTATACAGTCATGCATGTTTGTATGCATGTGGACATGCCAACATGCATGTATGTGTGCACGCATGTCTGTAGTATGTATGCATGCATGCTTGTATGCATGAACCTATGCATGTGTGTATGCGTACTTGTATTTATGTACACATGCATGCATGCATGTATGGATGTGGCATCTGTGTATCTATGTTGTGTCGCGTGTGTGCATGTATGTGTGTATGTATGGATGTATGCATGCGTGTATGTGCTCGTCTGTATGTATGAATGTATGTGTGACTGCATGTTGTGGTATTGCATACATGAATGTACACACGTATGTGTGTATAGTTGCATGTGTGTATGTATACGCAATCATGCGTTCGTGCAGGTATGTGCGTATATGTATGTATGCATGTGTGTACGTATGCATGCATGGGTGTATGTATGTATGTACATGCATGTAAGTGCATGTACGTCTGTATGAGTTTCGGTATGTATGGGCGTGTGCATGTATGTACGTATACATATGTGTATGTGTGTGTGTGCGTGTGTGCATGTATGCATGTGTATGTATATGCATGCATGTATGCATATGTGCATACATGCATGCATGCATGCATGTATTTATGTATGCATGCATCTATGTATGCATGTGTGTATGAAAATATGCATGCAAGTGCATGTCCGTACGCATGTGTTCAGGTATGTATAGACGTATGTGTATAATTATATATACACGTGTGTATGTATTCACCTGTGTATGTATGTATGTATGTATGTATGTATGTATGTATGTATGTATGTGTGCACGTATGTATGTACGTATGTTTGTAGTCTGTATGTACGTATATATGTGAGTACTTTGGTATGTGTGCATGTATATGCATACGTCTATATATATATATATATGTGCATCCATATATATATATATAGGTATCGGAGTAGGCCGGAAGGGGGGTGCGGACCGCGGCCTTGGGTACGCATGGAGGTCCCCGGCGGCCTGTGGGGCCCCAGAGAGCTCCCGGACGGCTGAAAACGCCCCACAAACTGGCCCGAGACTGTCCAGCAGTGCGTCTGAGACGCTCTGGCGCCACCCGAGACGCCCCCAGGCAGTCTAGGAACGCGCCAAGAGGCCCCCAAGAGGCCCACAAGAGGCTTCCGTAGCCATTTTGGCTCAAGTCATTTCGGCTCAAGATTAGCCGCGAGAAGGGCGAGCGCATTCCCAATCCACAGCTTCTGGTCAGGGCCACACTTCGCCACCAGTTGTTCTGCACGCGATGACGTCCACCGATGAGCTCAAGGAGCTGAAGCAGAACATGTCGCCGTGCGTCGCCTGCTGCTGCTACGAGCTGTCCTGCACTGCCAGCCAGGCGATGAATCCGCCGCTCATGGGCACCTTCAAAGTCTGCTGCTGCGCGGGATCTATCGCGCTCGAGTGCTGCTGCATCAGTTGCGAGCCAGACCCCTGCTGGTCCGAGGAGCGCGGCATCTGCGAAGTTGCCAGCAAGCTCCTCTGCTGCTACACGGAGGTGCAACTCCCACCCGGCAAGGACATCGGCTGCGGCTGCTGCGGCGTTGCGTTCTGTCGCTCGAGCGACGACGCACCTCCGGCCGAGGAGTGAGGGGCACCCGTTCGGGGCGCGTGTCACGCGCACACATCAGTTTATACGAATTAGGCATCTTCAGTGTTTCGCCGGCAAGTGCAAACATGCGGCGCAGTGTACAATATGTTGCCATTGTTGTGGGGATGACGGGCTCTGCTGAACACTGTCTGCAGCAAAGATGCTTGTCTGTGAGAGAACAACAGGAAGCTTTTGTGACTACCCTCGGCGTTTTCCCCGGTTGGCGCCGAGAGGAGTCCGAGTGACGAGCTTCTTTGCGATTGCCGTGGTCAAGTATCTTCGGGCTCCGCTGAACACGGTCTGCGGCAAAGGCGCCCGCGTGCGATTGAGAAAAAAACATATCCCGTCAAAGCAACCTAACAGCGATGTGTAGGAACATATCTGGAAGCATTCCCCTTAATATTCAGATGAGAATCCAGTTGTAGAATTCTGCTGCTCTCGCAGTCGCAGTCGCATTCGCGATGACAGTCGCAGTGGCAACGGCAGTCGCAGTCACAGCCTCAGCCTCAGCCTGCCTCAGCCTCAGCCTCAGCCTGCCTCAGCCGCAGCCTCAGCCTCAGCCTCAGCCTCAGCCTGCTTCAGCCTCAGCATCAGTCTGCCTTCAGCCTCGGCCTTAGCCTCAGCCAGCCTGCATCAGCCTCAGCCAAAGCCTCAGCCTCAGCCTGCCTCAGCATCAGCCTCAGCCTGCTGCCTCAGCCTCAGCCTGCTGCAGCCTCAGCCTCAGAATGGAGTTCTGGGAACTCGAAGACCACGAAGTGGCCTACAGTTGGCTCCGGGCATTCAAAATCATGCCCAGGAATGGAGTTCTGGGAACTCGAAGAGCACGAAGTGGCCTACAGTTGGCTCCGGGCATTCAAAATGTGGCCCGGGAATGGAGTTCTGGGAACTCGAAGAGCACGAAGTGGCCTACAGTTGGCTCCGGGCATTCAAAATATGACCCGGGAATGGAGTTCTGGGAACTCGAAGAGCACGCAGTGGCCAACAGTTGGCTCCGGGCATTCAGAATGTGGCCTGGGAATGGAGTTGCGGGACCTCGAAGACCACGAAGTGTGTATCTGTTTGCTTAAAACGACTTCCGCGGCTTCTCCCCGGATCCTGCCCGGACCCCCCTGGGGAGTCAAGATGCTCTCTTTTGACCCCACTAGAAACCTATCAGTCTTCGCTGTTAGGTAATCATGAACGGGGGTCTGGGATAACGTGAGGGAGAAGCAGGAGGAGGAAGAGGAGGAGGAGGAGGAGGAGGAGGAGGAGGAGCAGGAGGAGGAGGAAGAGGATGCGATGCGATGCGACCACCGTTGCGGACAGCGTCCGGGCCTGGAGCAAACCAGGTGGGTGAGGCGATGGCCTCTAGGATCTGAGGTGTCTGGATTCATGCAATGCGAGACATGTAAAAGTTAGGAGGGGAGGGGGAGGAAGAGGAAAAGAAAGTCCTTGGTGTCGGTGTCGGCGCGGGTTGGGCGAGACGTCTCGACGTTCGCTGAGATTTTACGTCATTGGTCTGAGTCCCGGGTGCTGGTCGACGTGAGGTCGGTGAAGTGGTGCTCGAGCGTTGTCCATGTTTCGGTGTCTTGGGCTGTTTGCGTCCATGTGATGTCGTTCGGTTGTCCTTTCGAATGGGCTTGCGTGGGCGGTCGGTGGAGGTATGGTCTGCGTTGACGTAAGTAAATGGTGATTTCGTCGTCCCAACGCTTGTTTTGGCCACCGTGCTGCCTGTGTCCCCGCTGGCGCGGGTTGAAGACTGGGTACCAACGCAACACTCGCCATGTCCACCTCGTCCGGTTGTGGTTTGCGACTCGCGAAGCCATGCGCCATGCTTTCCGTTTGCGCAGCGTCTCCCAGTTGTCAACGTGGTAGAGCTTCTGAGGTGCTCTGCGCGTCGTGTCGCTCGTTGGATGTAGTCGACCCATGGTTCCATTTCGTCTGTCCGTAGCCATTTTGGCTCAAGACATTGTGGCAAGTCTTCAGGCGTTTGAAACGTGTGATTTGTGCCCATTGCCCCAAGCCACTCTTACTCCGCCGTTGCCGCAATGAACGTTGTGGTGCTTGCAGGAGCGTTCGCCATCCTGCTTGTCGGCCGCGGCTGCGTCGCCGCCGACGACCTAGCCGAGACTTTGGAGGAGCGCCGCCTGATGGAGGACGACTCGCGCAACTGCGACGCCACGAACGAGGCCGACGGCGTGGGGCTGCTCCAGTCACGGGCGCCAGGCCCAGGCGAACCGCAAATCGCGAACATTCGGAAGAACGAGACGCAGGACCACAAACAATATGAGGAGGCGAGAGTGGAGGATGTGTTGATCGATGTTCAGAACTTCAACTCTGGCGGCGTGCATCACCATATCGATAAGTGCGACGATGTCGTTTGCCCTGAAGCACACACATTCTGCTGCAACTTTTATGTCACCTACACTTGCTGTACAGATGCAGGTTTTTGGGGTCCATACATTATCCCCGGATATCCATGCCCCAAATTCGGGCTCTCCGGCAAGTGCACGAAGGGGTATTGTTGTGTAAACGAGAGGTGCAGCCCGTGCTAGTTCAGTTGTCCTCCTCTCTGCCCCGCTCGGTTTAACGTCCTGCCCGTTAGTCTGATAACCTCTTATGTCGGCAAAGGTAATACCAGAAAACAGACGCCACAAGTGCGGACACAAGGGCAGCCAGATCCATACGGATTTGTGTTTTATCGAGGGTCTTTCGCGGCAGCTTGTATGTATTTTTCAATTCAGGCTTCTCCAACGTTGCCACGCAGAGGAAGGTAATGTCGCCTTCCGAGACAAGATTGCATCCGCGTCTTCCCTCCTCCTCTTCTTCGTCATCCTCCTCGTCCTCCCTCTCCTCCTTCGCCCCTCCCCCGCCTCCTCGCTTGCTCGCCCCCTCACTGGAGAGGGAGGGGGCAGAAGGGGGTGGAGAGTGTATGGGGAAAACGAGGAGGAGGGGGAGCAGAGCAGGCAAGCCAAGTTACTCGGCAGGAGTCGCCTCGGCATTTGTTAGTTGAGGCTGTGGTTGGGTCTTGGAGAGATCCTTCCCCTCCTACAATGCCTCTGTTCCAGCAGCCTGGTTAGCTTTTGCCTGGTTCGCTTTTTGCATTCCGCGGGCTGGAACTCCAGCTTCTTGGGAAAGAGGCGTCGCGCGATACAGGGCCTCGGTTGTGTGGCGCGCGGTGCTGGCTACCGGAGTGGATTCTGGTTCGCGACAGCGTTTCGCGTCCCCCCCCCCCCCCCAAAAATGGTTCCATTTCGTCTGCAGTGGTGCTGTCTTCGCCGTCTTCGCTGTGCTTGTCAGGCGTGTCAGGTGCATCACACTGTGATGGGTTGCTGTCTGCGTCGTCGCTAGTGCTGTTGGTGCCGTTTTCGTGGTCTTGTGCTTCGTTGTTCGCGCCGTCGAGATTGGTCCCTGGCCGCCGTGAGGGCCGGCTTCTCTCGTTGTGCGTCTCCGTGGCGTTATGATGATCATGCGAAGAACGCGTCGTTTTGTCCGTCGGAGATGCTGCCGTAGAGGCTCCGTGAGGGTCCACGTCTCTGCTCCGTATAACGCTGTTGGTGCTACATTGCTGTTGGGAAGTCGGAGTCGGTGAGCCAGTGGGTAGTGTTTGCTGGTCAGCTCCTGCTTGCGAGACGTGAATGATGCTCATGCAGCTCGCGTGCGGTGGTGAATTTCCGTTTCCATCGGTTCGTGGAAGCTGATCAATTGGCCGAGGTATTTGACATTGCCCTCGTATGGAACGATTTCTATATCCATGTCTTGGAAACGTGCTGTGCGTGAGCTCGCCCTTCCGGTCCTTCTCGTCTGGTTGTTCAGTACTTTGGTTTTGCTTGGGTGTAGTTCGAGCCCGTGTAGCCTCGTCGCGCGCACAATGTCGTCAAGCATCGCTGTCAGGCGCGGGAAAATTTGGCTGGTCAGGAGGAGGAGGAGGAGGAGGAGGAGGAGGAGGAGGAGGAGGAGGAGGAGGATGAGAGATGAAGGGGTGATTAAGGGAGGGGGGGGAGGAGCAGCAGCAACAGCAGCATCAACTGAAATAGCCGGGGGGGCAAACGGAAGAAGGATAATTTGGATGCACTCTGCACGCGGTGGAAGCACGTGGGGCCCGCCGGCATCACTGCCCGAGGTTATCGACGACCACTCAGAAGCACGCGCAACTTTACAGATTCGCTTCAAAATTCAAAGCTGCTCCTCTCGCACACCAACGGCTCCCTTATACCGCCAACAAGTCTCGAAATCCACTCAGGATTCGATGCTGAGGCTTTGCAGTCTGATAGCTTCGGGCCCCAACTCACTCGCGCCCTGGGCGGGCTGCAGTGCTGCCGCCCCGACGGGCACGGTGGGGTCGCCGCGGGGGCCGCCGTCGATGGAAAAGGAAAAACTGCACTGTCCCAGAGTCGGGGGAGCGTAAGACCCGGGTTTGCCGGGACTCGGGTTCGCCATCGTTTTTTGACGACCGCGACTCGGATTTTGACGAGGAGGAGTTTTGTGGGATGTCTGCAGCGGGAGGCCTCGTCAAAATGCAGGCTCGGCCTCGTCATTTTTTTGACGACCTCGTCGGGGATTTCCGAGTCCCCCGTACCCGGGTCTTACGTCTCCCCGACAGAGATCCCCGGACATGCTCGCGTCGGCGGAAGGCGTTTGGCAATTTTCGGCCTCCGGGGGCCCTCGCCGAGCCCCGGGACCGTCAAGAAACGGCTGGGGATGAAGGACCGGCCCTGGGAAATTCTGGGGACTCCGTACTGAAAAAATCAAGACGCTGCACGTCTGGGACCAGAATGAAGGGGCCCTGAGACACACAAATCAACACACACAAATAAAAGGATTCCCCATATTTTCCCATATGTTCTGGGTTTCTGTCTTCCCCCCCACCTCCCATATTTTCCCATATTTTCTTGGGAGTCGACGATTATTTGTGTCTGTGTGTTTCTTTCCCTCCTGACAGAAGTGCAGTCGAGGAAATCGTCTTTGCGAGGCGGGGGCTTCTCCACATCCACCGCCCGTGGAGGCCCGCGGAGGTCGATCCTCCAGGCGGTGGTCGTGGAGGAATCCCCGCCCCGGAGTTTGCCCAAGTGCTCCCACCAAGTGTGCCTCCCGCGACATATAGATTGCCAATCTTCGGCGGCGAGCGACAAGACAAGACAAGACAAGAGCCCGCGTCGAGGCACCTACGAGTGTGCCTCCCATGACGTATGTATATATACATATATATGTATATATATATATATATATATATATATATATGTATTGCCAATGTTCGGCGGCGAGCGAGGGGGGGAAAATGCGAAGGAGAAGGGCTTCTCGGAGGGCGGCGGGACTTCTCAGGAGCCCCCTCGCGCCCTCCGAGAGGCCCTCTGC